TGGAAAACTGTTCCTGAAGGCTACTTAAATAAATGACAAGGAGGCTGTTAAAGACTCTGTTTTTGACTTATATGCTGTATTTCCATGTATGTTTGCCTATTTTTCAATAAATCGTTGCACCTATCATCATTTTTTTACTAGCAAAATATAAAGAAATGACAGGTCTTATTTTGACCCGCCCACCGGAGTTGACGTTAGCATACGTAACGCATTTCCTCACAGCTAATTGGATGAGCCGGGACCGTCGCTCCTTAACGTGGCGGGAGCCAGAAATGAATGCATGAAGCAAACGTGTCTGGTCCTGCTGTGCGGACAGAAACACAATCGGTTGCTTTATATTATTTCTGATTATGAGCAGGTTACGTTCAGCGATGCAGAAAGGCAAGCGAGCCGCAGTGGAGGTGGTAGAAAGCGCATTACCGAAGCGGAAGAAGACAGCAGTGAAACAAGGTAACCACGCTGCTGTTACTTAATATCTGCGCGTCGTAGAGAGATCTACACTTCAGCTTTCATTGCATACTTGAAAGTAAACGCATCGCTTTCCGTGATGCTAAAAATGATGCTAAACTGTTTTAGCAGCTTCAGAATTTACAGCAGTACAGATGCGTGCACAGCCAAACCGGGTCCTGCAGGCTCGTGTTGGGTAAAGTCTGATACTGCTGCAAGAAATGGCATGAATGTCTGATGGGACTTGTTTCAATCTGATAATCATATTTATTATAGTATACAACAGAAACGTTTAATAACGGCACAATAGACAGATATGATTTCAGCGGGATTTCTTTAGTCTGAGTGAGAATTGTGTTTTTGGTCTTCCAGAGGAAACCACAGATGCTTCCTCACCATCTCCGCACCACACTTTCCCTGATCCTGCTGATGTCGTCCGCTTTCGCTCTCAACTCCTTAACTGGTACAACAAGGAGAAGAGAGAGCTGCCATGGAGGACTCTGGTAAAAAGAAACTATATTAAACTACTTCGTTGTCATCATTAATATACATTAATGTAACATGTGATATAGAAATAAGTTTGGTTCAAAGTTATTGTTTCAGCCTTGTCAGTATTCTGGTGGTTTCTGTCGTATTTTTAGTCTTTTTCTCAGAGGAAATTTGTAGCGTTGCCTTTCTTTACTTTCTACAGGCTATAACGGAGTCAGACATCAACATCAGGACATATGGAGGTGAGAAGAGTTGGGTGCATTCTTGACAAATGTACACATCTTTAACTGCTGCTTAAAGTGATGTGCTTTTTTTCAGTATGGGTTTCAGAAATAATGCTGCAGCAGACTCAGGTTGCCACAGTAAAAGACTATTACAACAAGTGGATGAAGGTGTGCATCGTGTAGCTTTCTTGTGCACTGGACTTCTTGTGACACTGATTTCACTGTGTGCAACTTAAAGCTTCTATTTATTATGCTGCAGAGGTGGCCCACAGTGCAGGATCTTGCAGCTGCCACTCTAGAGGTGATGCCTTAAAGCAGCAAATGCACATACAATGATTTTAAAATGCTGCTGTTTTTAATTTGGATGTACTGATTGTGTTGATTGGTAGGAGGTGAATCAGATGTGGGCAGGCCTGGGCTACTACTCCCGTGGAAGAAGGCTGCATGAAGGAGCGCAGAAGGTCTGATTGTGTTCTTCCCTTTATCTAACATTTCTAAACAGTCTGTCTGCAGAGAAGTCTCACACCTTCTGTGTTTGGGTGTTCATTATATGTTCCTTTAGGTGGTGTCAGAGCTAAAGGGACAGATGCCTCAGACGGTTGAGAGCCTGCTCAAACAGCTGCCTGGAGTGGGACGCTACACTGCTGCAGCTATAGGCTCTATTGCACAGGGGCTGGTGGGTCATTAGACATGGATATCTGCAGCAGAGCAAAGTCTTAGGTACTCTTTTATTAATCACTCATAGAGATGTGATCTCTCTTGTGTAGCTTACCGGAGCTGTGGACGGTAATGTCATTCGGGTGCTGTGTCGCCTGAGGGCGATTGGAGCTGACAGCACAAGTCCAGCAGTGACAAAGGCACTTTGGTGAGATTCACCTCCAAACCAAAATAATATATAAACGGAAAGCTTTTGAATGTTTTTATTTCTCTTGTGTTTAAGGGATTTGGCCAATTTGCTGGTGGATCCTGAGAGACCTGGAGACTTTAACCAGGCCATGATGGAGCTGGGAGCACGAGTCTGCACCCCTAAAGGGCCCCTGTGCAGTCAGTGCCCCGTGCAGTCTCACTGCCACTCTTATCACAAGGTTGGGATGATTTCAAATTGCGACTGGCACCACTAAGGATTATGCGAACACAGATTAGAAAAGATTCTCTCCAGTTAATGGCATGAGGCATGTTGTGTGTCTGCACAGGTTCTTGTCAAACAAGAGCAAAACTCTAAGAAGCTCTTGGGGAAGCTGGGTACAAAGACTTCAGAGCTGCCTGACATAGAAGACTGCAGTAAGTCTCCTCCCCTTCAGACCTCTCAGATGTCTGTATAGTCCTGAAATTAAAAGTATCTTTCTATATGTGAAGCGAACAGTGTAACATGTCCCCTGTGTCCCTCGGAGCCCTGGAATGATGAGCTGGGTGTTCAGAACTTCCCCAGAAAGCCGTCGAAGAAGCCCCCCCGGGTGGAGCGAACTCTTACCTGTGTGGTGAAGAGGCCTGGAGATGACGGGGAAGAAAGGTTCCTGCTCATACAGAGGCCAAGCAAAGGTTAGCACTGATTGCAACATCAGCTTGTGCTGGTCAAGCGTTGGATTCAGAATGTGCACAATTGTATCCTGATAACGAGACTGAATCAGACTGCTAGAATCACTGAGAAAACTGTCAGTGTTAGGAGTGATGCATTGGTCTGGATGCAGGCTATAATTTTGGTGGATGTCTCAGTCATTGTGCAGCTTGATTCAGACACACATAAAAAAAACGGTAAAAGTAAGTAAATCTGTCTGGGTGGGCTGCAGGTTTGTTGGCAGGCTTGTGGGAGTTTCCAAGTCTTCTGCTTGAGGTTGAAAACTCTGAGAAGAAACAGAAGGGGGCGCTCTGCGAGGAAATCAGCAGAATACTGGGAACGCATTTAACTGAAAACCTGTTCCAGTATGTGGGAGAGGTAAGCTGGATATTTAGACGCTCTGTCATCTGCCTTTAATAGGAAATAAGCTGTTTGTGTAACTCTGCTGCACTGGTTGGCTGTTTGCAGGTGGTCCACATCTTCTCCCACATCCACCAGACTTATGTGGTTTACAGTGTGTGTTTAAAGGAGAGGGACACACACACACAGACTGAAAACACACAGTGGCTCACTAGATCTGCTCTACAGGGAGCTGCTGTGTCCACAGGACTGAAAAAGGTTTGTGGTTGTTTTTTTATGCACTGTCTGAGTGAATTCTGTCTGTGCAGCAATAAGAGTGCACTTGATTGTCACTTAGAGAAAGCATGCTATAACAACCTGCCTTTACCTTTCCAAATATATATTGGATATAGTGAAAACGGGGCTGCAGTGGCTCGTGCTGTCAAAGTTCATTTTCACTATGCAAACAGATTCAGATCATCATCTGCTGATCCTTAACATTGACCACAAACCTTTTCATAAAAGGCAAGAACAAAGTAGCTAAACAGAACCTAAGTCGCAGTGTGTAGCTTCCCTTAATACTGGCAACCCACACACTGAGGTACCGCTTGGTGGTACAAGAACAAAAGCTGCGGTTCGGTCACAACTTTCCGTGACTTCATTGATTACAAAACCCCAAACAAATAAGCAAGAACGATTGTGTTGTCTGAGAAGAAGATTGTGTTGGTGTGTTTTCAATTTGCTGTGTGCTGGTACATGATGACACGAGCCACAGTTCAGGGGGTTCCTCCTCTCTGCTCTGACAGTCTGACACTCGGGGATTAATTCACAAAGCACATCCTGTGATTATCCACAAAAATGCAGTCTTCGTTAAAAAGCTTTTATTGGCTCATCTCTGTGAAAAGCCTCAACATGAAAGTCAGTTTGACACATGCGGCGTTCTTACTGCAGTTTGAGCTCCATGGTTCAGTGCAGATGTTCAAAGGGGAAGTCAGACAAGTTTAAATCAGGTTTTTTTACTGGTGGAGTCAGATAAAGAACGTTTCCTGCTTTGTTCTGCTACTACACACAAATGTTTTGGGTCAAAGGCTGATCGAATAGAACTGAATGTAAAGCCATAAACAAATAGTCCCCCAGTAATGTCACAGAAAATACACATACATGTGTAAAATGTCGTCAAGATTGTCTCACGTTTCTGTAACGTATTTAAAAAAGCATCTAATTGTGCTTGTGTGGTCAACATTAAATCTCCTGCAGATTGTGAAGCTTTATGATTCTGTGGACAGTCTGAAGGAAAAAAACACAAAGGTGAGCCTCGACATTTGTAAAACTGCTCAGATAATTTATTATGTAATCCTACCGTAACTGTTTGTCTCTGCTCGTTTTAGGATGGAAAAAGGCAAAAGGACTCGGAAATAATGGATAACAAGAAGCCGCAGAGCTCTAAAAAGAACAAACTCAGTGCAGCGAGCAGCGGCAGCAGACAGCTCTCCCTCAGTTCCTTCTTCAAGACTGTAAAAGAGGAATGTTGTTAGTGTCCCTGAAAAGTGCCTTTCCACATGCATGTACCTAAATATCGCCATCACTGCGGTTTCCACTTTAAGCTATTAATATAGCAATCAGTTTTTGATTAAAATTGTATTGTGTGATTTTTTTATTTTTATTTTATGTTATTATTTTTTAACGACTGATTTCTGTCTCATTGTAAACCAACTGCAGGATTTTAAGTAATTTCATGTGAGCCGACGACGTGTTTTACACTTAGTATGTTTCATAATTGTCATGTTTGTTGCCACAATAAAGTTATAACATGGGAAAGAAGTGTAAATAAAAGATAAGCTCTAGTCTTCACTTGAGCTGGTGACGTGAGTTGAATGTCCAACATCTGTAAGGCCAAATCAAGATAAAGATTGAAGTATCTTTTTACAATAATGACCATTTTACATTCTGAAGGATTCATTTGTATTGAAATGACCTCGTCTGACTGTCTGTGCGTAAGTAAGGAGGTAAAAAAGTCTTTATCAGCCAAACTTTGTGGGGAAACAGCGCCCCTTAGTGGGCCGAATGAAACAGGAAGTGATCGAAATCACGGTTTCTACACATGGAAAAACTGGAGCGAAAGACACTTTGTGTCACCGTGCAGTGTTTGGTTTGTTTGCCTGAGCTGCAGCCGACCCTGCGTTAGCGCGGCTGTTTCCGGCACGGCTGGTTGCTCCAGTCTGTCTTCATTTTATCGCAGGGCTGCAGCTGCACTTGGCTCACATTTACTGAACTTTAAGCCCAGTCCAAAGGTTCCCCCACGCTGTCACTGAAGTTTGCTGCGTCTGAGCATCAGCGGGCAAATTGCTGTCTTGAACTGCAGGACGTTTGAGGGTTTTTTATTCTTCTTCTTTTTTTGTTTAAAGTCCTTGAAAGCTCTCAGATGGATTCCGCACGGCAAACTGTCCTGTCTGTACACCAGAGGATAGTCGACAATGGAGGTATGATGTTGATTATTTTCCCACATGTGTGTTACGCTTTTATTGCTGTTTCTTTTTGCATCCCTGTGTCTCGTGTGGTTGTTGGGCAGATTTTCAGTGTAAAAGGAAACCTTGTCTTAGTCTGTTGAATGAGTGGGAAGATGCAGATGTGCTCCAGAGCTCGGCTTCACAGTGACTGCTCTGTGGTTTTTGCCACATGACTGTCTGAATGAGCGTGACACTTTTTATCTTGTTATTGTCTTGTTACAATTATCTTTGTAATAGGCATAGAGGAGCAGCAGGCATCCAAGCTCACTCACCAAGAATGTTTATGGAGAAAACTAGTTGCTTGATCTTAGCTGCTTGTTCATAAATGCTAACAGCACATGTACATGTACACTCACTGGTGCTCCTGTTCAACCTTATTTGTTAGAGAAATATTTAATCAGCCAATCACATGGCACATGACATTGTTATATTTGCCACACAACTGTATTTACATTTGATAGAGAATGGACCAAAAAAAAGAAGAAAGTATCCAGTGAGCAGCAGGTCTCTGGCTGAAAAATGCCTGGTTGGTGTCAAAGGTCAGAGGATAGGAAGGCAACTGTAACTCAAAAACAAAAACTAAAAATCCCTTGGAGCAGATGGGCGCCACGCCTGTCAGCTAAGAACAGGAAACTGAAGTTACAGTTTGCACGCTGAACAACAGAAGACTGGAAAAATGCTGCCTGTACTGATGAATCTGAAACATGCATGAATACCATGGATGCATCCGTCCTTGTATCAACAGTTCATACTGTTGAAGGTGGTGTAATGGTGTGTGGGGGTCAGTGTTGGTCAAGTTACTTGAAAAAAGTAATTAGTAACTAATTACTGATTACTCCCCCCAAAAAGTAATCCTGTTACTTTACTGATTACTTATTTTCAAAAGTAATTAATTACTTAGTTACTTAGTTACTTTTTAAAAACACGATTTACAACCTGAAGAGGTGATAAAGCGATAGATCTTTCAGCCCAATTCTACTTTTTCTGCATAATCCATCATACAAAATGTAATCAAATGGAAAAGTCTCTTTTTAAAACTTGTTTTATTAGTTTTAATCTTTTAACTTTATGCATCAAGCAAACATTTAATTATATGCAACATTCTCTGACTGGAAGAAATTAGTTTAACATTTAAACCTATTTTCTGCACATTCCAGCACATAAAATAAAATATTTTTTGTGTTTACACTCAGTCTTTCAAATAGATGCAAGTAAAACACAGCAGAAAATAAATAAAGTCAAAGACTCAGCGGTCCTGTTGCTCTATTTTCACCTGTAAAGCAGGAGTGGGGCAGGCGGAGGTTACCCTGGTGCAGGTGTGCCGCGGTCAGTGGAAGAATCCGCGAGTTTCTCTGTGAGTTTCCCATTACGTCGTAGCTACTCGGTGCTTGTTGGAAGTTTAGGGGTTTTTTCGCTGTAAAAAGAAGTTTTCTTCCCACGCACAGCGGACACTCATGTTTTTGTCACTTTTTATGGAATCAAACTCAAAGTAAGGTCAGTACTTCCACGCTTTAAACGCTGCACGCTCATACTCTCTCTGCACTCGATATGTGATCCATTGTTGATCTGCACACAGCTGTTGTCACGAACGTCGCACTCGCTTACGTCACTGTCGTGAGACATTCTCGCAAAAAATCACGGTTTTAGTAACGCAGTAACGCAGCGTTCCTACGGGAAAGTAACGGTAATCTAATTACCGTTTTTGCAATAGTAATCCCTTACTTTACTCGTTACTTAAAAAAGTAATCAGATTACATGCCCATCTCTGGTGGGGGTATTTTCATGGTCCCTTAGTACCAAGTGATCATTGTTTAAACAGGTCGCTGTGCTCAAAGGGCCTTCACAGTCACCAGATGTCACGAGAGCACCTTTGTGGTGGGTTGGGAGAATGCAAGCGGCTGTGTGATGCTCTCGTGTCAACATGGACCAAAATCTCTGAAGGTTTGCAGCACCTTGTTGAAATCTGTGTTATGAAGAATTGAGGCAAAAGGTGGTCCAGCACTGTACCTAATCAAGTGGCCGGGGAGTGCATATTAACTAAGTTACAGCAAGGTTCACTTTTTTGCATTTCCTTGAGACAAAAACCACATCTCAGGAATCATTGGTGAGAAATTCATGAGATCACAGCAGCTCCAATCATTCTTTTACTTTGGATCTTTCCTTTAACACATTTGTTCATTTTTAAATTATACCTAACCTGCAATTCCTGCTGTCCAGACAAGAGAACGGACCCCTGGCTGTTGGTCTACTCCCCAGTCCCGGTGACGCTCATCTTCCTGCTTTATCTGTTTGTAATCTGGGCCGGCCCTCGTCTGATGAAGCACAGGGAACCCTTTGAGCTCAAAGTGGTCCTCATTGTTTACAACTTCGCCATGGTTGGCCTGTCTGTGTATATGTGCCATGAGGTGTGTTTAAGCTGCTTCTTTGTTCTGTTATAACAGGGAAACTGATTAACCAACCAGCTTATGAGCAAAGCAATGATGTGTTTGAACAGTGGCACAATGTCTCTGTACTTGCATCTGTGCACCAACCTAATGAATTCAAATATAGAGTTCAGCTGTGATTGAAGAGAAGATTTATAGATTCAGTTCAAAGGGTACTGAGACCCGTGTCCAATCTGTGCTTTGCAGGTTGGGTTCAGGTCAGGAAGAGATTATAGCGCTATAGGCATCAGACTACTACATGCTCTTTTTATCAGCAGTAACATCATCAATAAACACCAGTGAACCAGTTTAACTCGCGGTCGTACATGTTTTTGTCACAACATCCCCTCCAACATGTTTGGCTGATGATGTGGTGTGTTTTGGATCTTGAATCCTTCTTTTCTTCCCCACTTTCTGCTAAACGTTCGTCTTAGTTTTGTCTGTCCAACGAATCTTGTTCCAGAACTAGTCCGTCTAGATGTTTGTAGCAAAGCCTCATCTGTCCTTACTATTGTTGGGTTCAATTCAATTTCAATTCAATTTTATTTATATAGCGCCAAATCACAACAAAAGTCGCCTCAAGGCGCTTCATAGATACAGAGAAAAACCCAACAATCATATGACCCCTATGAGCAAGCACTTTGGCGACAGTGGGAAGGAAAAACTCCCTTTTAACAGGAAGAAACCTCCGGCAGAACCAGGCTCAGGGAGGGGCGGGGCCATCTGCTGCGACCGGTTGGGGTGAGAGAAGGAAGACAGGATAAAGACATGCTGTGGAAGAGAGACAGAGGTTAATAACAGATATGATTCAATGCAGAGAGGTCTGTTAACACATAGTGAGTGAGAAAGGTGACTGGAAAGGAAAAACTCAATGCATCATGGGAATCCCCCGGCAGCCTACGTCTATTGCAGCATAACTAAGGGAGGATTCAGGGTCACCTGGTCCAGCCCTAACTATATGCTTTAGCAAAAAGGAAAGTTTGAAGCCTAATCTTGAAAGTAGAGATAGTGTCTGTCTCCTGAATCCAAACTGGAAGCTGGTTCCACAGAAGAGGGGCCTGAAAACTGAAGGCTCTGCCTCCCATTCTACTTTTAAATACTCTAGGAACAACAAGTAGGCCTGCAGAGCGAGAGCGAAGTGCTCTAATAGGGTGATATGGTACTACAAGGTCATTAAGATAAGATGGGGCCTGATTATTTAAGACCTTGTATGTGAGGAGCAGGATTTTGAATTCATCGGATTTAACAGGAAGCCAAAACAGGAGAAATCTGCTCTCTTTTTCTAGTCACTTGTCAGTGACTCTTGCTGCAGCATTTAGATGCAGACCTGAGCAGCGCTATGTTCAGTGGAGTATCTCAAATTATGAGAAGAGGATGCAAGTCTTCTGACACTTGTGGAAAGTCCTGTGGATATCAGAAAAAAGATTACAGATCTAATGAATCATCGTCAGCCTGGAAGTAATAAATGCATGACTAGTTTCATGAGAAGACGCTGTAATTTTAAGATTAGACTCAAAACGTTACTTTTTGATGAAGCTTGTAGTTGGGGTTAGATCAGGTGACCCTGAACGATCCTCACTCACGCTGCTGTTGTCTCAGACGGCTGCAGTACTTCATGTGATGCACTGAGCGCTTCTTCACCACTCCCCTCTTTTCTCTGCCCACGTGTCTTTACACGACTGCAGCGTGTCATTCAGTTTTTGTCCTCTCTTCCTTGGTCTGTGTTTGTACTGTCTCCACATGCGCTGCCCCACCCTGAGCCTGCTTAGGCTTCTTCCTGTTAAAGGGAGTTTTGTTTAGTTTTTTTGGTTTTTGTTCTGTGCTTACTCAGCGGGTGTCACTTGATTGTTGGGTTTTACCTTAAAAACAGTGATCACATCATATTAGAGCAAACAATGACAAGAAGAGTGGACACAGAGGAGAATATAGATAACAATAACGGAAACACATCAATACAGTGATACAGTATTGGATATGAGCCAGTATCACAGAGTGCAGGAATGTAGTCGCTGCTGTCTGTTAATGATGTGCGGATATGTCTACAGTTCTGTATATTAACATTTACAGTTTTCACTACTTTTTAAACGTGTTTTTAAAGGATAATTTCGAGTCTAGTAGCACTCCCAAATTCATAAATTCCCCAACATGAATTCGTTCTTGTTATTCGGGTATTGTCATTTTCATATTGGTCATAAAAAATGAGGATGTGAGCCAAACGTTGTCAGCTATCGGACTACTTAAAAAAAAGGAACATGTTTAAAAAAATCTATTTGTTCTTCTTGAAGTGCTACTGCAATATCCTCATTAACCTCTTTAACTACAGCTGGAAATCTTAGTGTCAATAACCTCAATTTTCTAATCCTTGAAAATCCATTGTGGTGGTGAACAGATGCAAACTTTCCAAATACTTTGATAAACCTGACTGCATGACCCAAAGCACACATGTTAAAATACTTCTGTACAGTATTTAATTTATTAATAACTGTGTTTTAGAAAGTCTCGTTTCATGAGATATGTGAAGATGAATAACTGCCTGATTATTTTCAGTTCCTTGTTACATCCTGGCTCCTTAACTACAGCTTGCTGTGTCAGCCTGTAGATTACAGCACCAGTCCGCTGGCAATGAGGGTAAGAAAGTTATGCATTGAGTATATTTTGTGGTTTGTTTGTTGTGTGTGTGTCTGTTGAGAAGTTTGATGCACATCATACATACCTGACAAACAGTTTATACAGAAGTTACACTTTTCCCCAGATGGCCAGAGTGTGCTGGTGGTTTTTCTTCTCTAAGGTCATAGAGCTCAGTGACACGGTATGTATCTACACAGCCCAACCTAAGCTGATGCACTCTTTCCTGATCCTGTGTCACAGCAGCATCGCCTCCGTGCCAACTTCTAAACCTTCCCTTTAAATGTTGCTTGTATCTCCTGATTGTTTTCCATCCACTCCACCCTGCTCTTCTCCACCTCTTCACCTTTTCTTCATCCTCTATCACCTTTTCTGCTCCATCAGCCTCTCCATTGCCACTGGAAGCGGGAAAAGCTCAGAGTGTAACTGAACCTTCATCTTAAACCCATCTGTCACTCTCAGGATCAATGCTGAGACCCTCTTTGGAGGGTCCGCCACATTAGGTGCTGTTCAAAAACAACGAGATTAAAAAAATGTTGTAAATGTTTGTTGGCCCGTAGACATTTTCAAAGAATAGAACAGCAGGTGGGGATGCAGTCGAGCAGACAATCGTTGCTGTAAGGCTAAAGCAGAGCGTGGGGTTCAAGTCCACACTGTCACCATTTTTTTAAAAAGCAGAGCGTGGGGTTCAAGTCCACACTGTCACCATTTTTTTAAAGACTAGCAAGTGGGAGCGTTTCAGCAATATTTACTTGAATGAGTGGTGCTGACTGTAAGTTTTTGTTTCTGTCGAGGATGTTCCAAAGCTTAAAACGATTAACATTGTGCTCTTCATCACATACGTCTCTGCTACTCTGTGTCCTCATGCAGTACAGCTCTTCTTTTGCGACAGTCTTGTATGCACCTAATACCCCAAAGGCACAGTCGTAGTCTTAGGAATTTCCGTCTCTTTTTTCCAGTAATCATACAATGTCTCACTTTCCAAGTAAACCTCGCAGCTCCTCCTGCACGTGTCCATTCTATCTGGACCAACCGGCTTTGCGTTTTCTTTCAATACTCATTGCTGCCCTGACTCTATGATTTAACTTTCTCTCATTTGCTCTTATTTTCTTTATTCTTCATCCCTCAAAATGACTCCTTTTGATTTCACCCATCTGTCACCTCTCAGTATGTTTCAGTATTTATGCTTCCTGTTCAGTTCCTTTCCTTCTAGCCCTTAGTACAGGCACTTTTCTCCTTCCTTATGCTGTGGTGTCTGTCTGCTAAAGCTGCGAAGAAGAAAAAATACTTTTGTCTGGTGCTTTATTCAAGGCATAGATCACCATAGCAACTAGCACCTCATGTTTGATATGTCATATCTTTTCTTTCCTCACATATGATGTAGCTACAGATGGGGATCATTTACGTTAGGCGTTTGCATAAACTTCAATTCAATTCAATTTTATTTATATAGCGCCAAATCACAACAAAAGTCGCCTCAAGGCGCTTCATAGATACAGAGAAAAACCCAACAATCATATGACCCCCTATGAGCAAGCACTTTGGCGACAGTGGGAAGGAAAAACTCCCTTTTAACAGGAAGAAACCTCCGGCAGAACCAGGCTCAGGGAGGGGCGGGGCCATCTGCTGATTGGTTGGGGTGAGAGAAGGAAGACAGGATAAAGACATGCTGTGGAAGAGAGACAGAGGTTAATAACAGATATGATTCAATGCAGAGAGGTCTGTTAACACATAGTGAGTGAGAAAGGTGACTGGTGACTGCATTGCATATAACCTGCTAGCTGCTAGCTGTAGCTCTTTGCTCATTTCTCTGTGTACAGCTCCTGATCATCCTGCGGAAGAAGAACAATCAGCTGACGTTCCTTCATGTTTACCATCACAGTACGATGATCTTCAACTGGTGGTCGGGAGTAAAGTATGTGGCAGGTGGACAGTGTGAGTATTCTGATACTGAAATATTTTGTCCTCAGGTTTGTGACCTCAAATCATTCCCCCAAACAACCATAAAGTCCACTAAGAGTAAAATTAGCTCCACTGCTTTAACTAGCTTCTCCCTTTAGGGGTCGCCACAGTGGCTCATCTACCTCCACCTCCCCGATCTCTGGCATACTTCTCTGTCACACCAGTCCTCTTAGTGGTCTTCCTCGTTCCCGCTTGCCTAACAGCTCCATCTCCATAATCCTTTTTCAAATATATATTTAAACCAGCTTTTCTGTGTGGAAAACCTTTTTCTGTTGTTTCCTGCAGCGTTCTTCGTCGGCCTGATCAACACCTTTGTCCACGTTATAATGTACTCTTACTATGGCCTGGCTGCACTCGGCCCTCACATGCAGAAATACCTGTGGTGGAAACGGTACCTGACATCTCTGCAGCTGGTGAGCGTCTCCAGCTCTGTAGTGAGATATTCAAAAATGTGCGCGCCAGCATGTTCGAATGATTAAACCGATCTGAACTGTGTGCATGAAGGGTGGGGTTAAGTTAGAAGATTATTCTCAAGATCATGATGGGACCGCCAGCTCTGTAGTGAGATATTCAAAAATGTGCGCGCCAGCATGTTCGAATGATTAAACCGATCTGAACTGTGTCGCCTCTCCAGGTGCAATTTGTCCTGATCGTTGTGCACACAGCGTACAACCTGTTCGCAGATTGCAACTACCCTGATGCCATGAATGCTGTGGTGGTTGGTTACTGCATCACCCTCATCATCCTCTTCAGTAACTTTTATTATCAGAGCTACCTCAGGAAGACGAAGAAGCAGAAATGAGACGCCGTGATGAGGCAACACACAGCTGAAACACAACGGTTTAAAAAAAATACAGACACACACATATATATATGTATATATATATATATATATGGGCATTATACATGATGTACATTAAAGGTTTATTTTTTGAAAAAATAAATCTGCAGTACTCCGCAGCGACCACTGGAGGGCGCAACATGTCCACAGTGTGAAAGTTTTTCTCAGGGTGCTCAACACACAACTAGCTCTGGGGACTGACATTGCACAATATTTCGGGCTATAAATGCATTGGTGTGTTGCATTTGTTACGTAGTTGTCTTTATAAAAACAAACAATATAATAAACACAGAACAAATGTGAGCAGCTGAAGCATCTGTCATTTATATTGTTTTTAAAAAAAGAGACACTGCGTGATGATTCAGTTATTTATTTCTTAAACTGAGGAATGACAAACATTCAAATGATTGCTGTAAACAAACTGTACATTTTATACATATAATAATAATTATAATAAAGTAGGATGGTTTCTCTGCCCAAACCCTCCTCCCGAGATAAATCCAAAAGCCAAAAAAACCCAAAACTACTTAACAAGAGAAATGCAAACTTTTTTTCCCCACTGATAAAACGTCACTGCAAAACGTTATATTCTCCTCTACACGTCAGTGTGGAGCAGACGTGTAGATTACCGAGAAAAAACAAAGAGGAGGAGAGGAGAGGTTTGTGGTGTTAAAATGAGATGTTGTATGTAGAAGCTCGAGCTGATTGTACTGTCTGTGTGCAGGTTTTAATGTCAATGTCATTTAATAACATTTAATTCAATTCAGTTTTATTTATATAGCGCCAACAGCTGTAGCCTCGAGGCGCATTACAGACTAAAACCTGCACCATCAACAACATCATTTATTTGCCGATCGTGTCCAGCAGTTTGCAGCCTGGTAACTTGGACCTTTAACCCAACAGGATTTTAGTTTTTCAGTCTGAATGCCAATTAGCATTAGCATGAATTAGAACGGATTTAAAGACTGCAGGAAGTTTCCATAATAGAAATAGAAATATCTGACTGTTCATGATGGGGTGCCCCATTATCAGACTATTCAAACACTGGTGTCCTTTTTTCAAACCTTTTTGTAGTCTCGTGCTTATTTTAGTGTTATTACTTGTACATTGTTTGAAGTTAGATAGAAAACACCTTTTTGTAGGTCTCTGGTAGCTTATTTGTGTTATTACTTGTACATTGGCCTTTGAAGTTATTCATGTTGTACAAAAGAAGTCAGTATTTGTTTGCTTGAACTGATCAAAGCAGATGCAGCTGAGTAGGCGCAATCATAAGAAGACAGTTTAATGTTTTAAGGAGTCATGAGGGAAAAAAAAAGGTTGGGAAACACTACCATTGTTTTTGCCACTGAAGCCATTTCCATTCAGTGTCACAGTTGCATTTACATTATATTTAGCCTTATTTTTTCCACTTTATTGGTTTCTATCTTGCACTTAAGTCAGAATAACCCACTTACAATGTGATCTTTGTTCTGTTTTTGGAAAAATGAAACCAGAACTGAAGAAAAAAAGATCTAAGCGTGTGAGGATGCATGAGGAAGGACCGCGGAGTAGTGTGGTGAAGCCTGTCTTGCTCCGGTGTTCCTTTATGTCTCTGTGTAGATGGAGGACATGTGGCTCAAGCTACGGTCAAAGCTGCCCACCTGGAAGAAAATGCTATCCTCTGGGCTGGATAAGAACTGGCAACCGCCGCCTCCCTGCAGCTCCTGGGTCAAGCTGAAGCCTGGAACAGATGCAGGGAAGAACAGTTTGTTTAATATGCTGATTAAATGGTGATACTTGCAGCTCAGCCTGTACACAGGCTAAGAGGACAATCATCCTCACCCGCAGAGCCGGTGTTGCTCGTCGACATGTGGAAGCCATTGGGCTGATGTGAAGTGTAGGTGTGAGAATCTCCCGGGACGTGGACGCCACCGACTGTCTGCTCCATCCTGTAGGAGTCTCCGAAATGGAAGCAGCTCTGGAAGCTGCCTTGGTATTCTAAGAAATGTTGGAGAATCATAGAGGGAGAGAGAAAAATAGAAGCTGGACTTCATCAGTTGCCATTACAGAGGGACTGTTTCCACTGTCACTAACCGCCCGGTCCATCCGGCTGAAACGTAATATGGTTAAGTTATGACAATGCTATATTTGTGTTTGTGCTAACACTGCCAGGCTACACGGTATGCAGCATTTGTCCCCATCGTCTGAGTTTGTGATCCAGATCAACCGCAGGAGTCATGATAATGGGAAAGCAGCCCTTCCTGGAGCGCATTTACGCAACTGGCTGACCACAGCGTGGTTTGAGAGACGTCCATGTGTAGATCTTTACAGTGAAAACAGTGTTTAAGGCATTAGGAAAAATGCTCGGGAGTGACAGCTGAACCTGCCATGTTAGGACGCTGAGAGACGGCCGAATACACGAGCCAGCATTTTGTTGGCTAATTCAGCACGAGGAAAAGGCTTCCGGCATGTGGTTTTCCCCACTCTGTCTCTACGACTCGAATCTCTCGGGGTCCTAAAAACGGTCCGACAGAACTGCGGGGCTGTATCGGCGCGCTAAGAGACAACTTCCTCTCTCTTTTATGTGGCAGCGAGTGCTGCAGCTTTTGGAAGAGGAGCAGAGTTGGGTTCAGATTGTAATTATCTTCAGGTGATCTGTTCCTATCGTAGGAAATCATAGAGTTACTGAATCACCTGCCACAGGAACCATTTTAGGATATTAAATTGAAACATGCAGGAAGTGATTCAAATTCAAGCCAAAACAGATTTCCTGAAAGAAGTTAAGCTGCATTCTGCGTTGAGTGTCGGGGTTAGCCTTACCGTCGCTGGCAGGCTGATGCTGGTGATAGTGAGGGTAAAGCTTGTGGTGAGGGTGGACATGCTGTTTCTCCAGTGGAGGAGGGAGTTAAAGCTTGTTGGGTGGGACGGGGATTGGGTGGCATTCTGACTAGGTTATTATACTAATCTCCGAGGGCTGGCAGGCTGATGCTGGTGGACTGTAGTGAGGGTAAAGCTTGTGGTGAGGGTGGACATGCTGTTTCTCCAGTGGAGGAGGCGATGTCCCCGCTGTCTTCATCCCAGGAGACAGGAGGGAACCAGACACCCTGAAGCAGACACGGAGAAACTAGGAATAAAAAGCTCTCAATTTAAAGTCATTCCTTTCTTGACAGTCTCAGTAGTTTCTCAATAAAATGCTTCATGCACTGTGACATCCCAATCAAAGCCGGAGCTGCATGCCGGCCTGCTAACCACATGATCCAACAAACCCAGCGGAGCAGTCAGTGATCCTGCACACACATAGAAGAAGAAACAGTCCAGGCATGTGGAAACTTGGGCTCCCCACACGTAATCTTCCTCCTACCGCATATTATGATCTTAAGTCAACAAACAGCAGAGTGTGCGTTGAAGGGAACACACACCAGTGCAGTAACCCTTGGCTTTGTGGCCGGGGAAGAAAAAAAATACAACCCCTGTTTACCTTCATGACATTTAAGTGAAGAAATATTAAGTTAACGTGTTTGAGACTTTGTGGACTCCAGCCTGTGCAGATAATGATATTTTAGGTAAAGATGCCTCTGTGCTATTGGACCCATTTGTCATTCGATACAGCAGCAGCAAATCTCCGAGCTTCACACGGTGCCAGTCCTGGCTAAACGGAGTTGGTTTTTCTTCAATCTCTGCATTTAAGAGGTGCACTCTGTGCTGGAAAAGCCACAAATATGACATCAAATCTTGAAATCAAAGCAAAATTATGAAATGTTTTCGCTGTTCGGTGCCAGTTGAACTAATTGAGTTTGCAAAATCTATAGTATGACATCAGAAAACTGCAATGTGCTTCATCACCACATCTTACTTTCTAACGTGAAGTTTCCTGCTGTCATGATGACTATGACCCATCCATCCATCTTCTGATGACAGGATGACTGGTAGTGGGGGTAGCAGTTTAAGCAGGGACATCCAGAGCCCCCAGCTCTTCCATGGAGCCAACAAGGTGCTCCATGTGGGCCTCCACTGGTCTCGCCCTATCTCTAAGGGAGAGCCCATTTCTGCCATTTATATCAGTAATTTCATTATTTTGGTCAGAGCTCATGATCACAGGTGAGGGGAGGGAGGCAGCTTGACCAGTAAAAATCCACAGCTTTGCATCCACCCTAAGCTCTCTCTACATCCAGTAAAACATATACAGTCCATATTACTACTGATGCCACACAGTCTGTCAATCTCCTGATCTCAAAGATGATTGAAGTATTTCAATGGAATTTGAGTTTCAAGCTTAGTTTGTCTAGAAAAGTAACTTATACAACACCCGCATATTACAGAATGATCTTTTATGGCTTCCTTACTTTAAAGAGCTGCACATACATTTGTACTTATGTGTGTGTGTGTGTGTCTCCGTGTGTGGGGTAGAGTTTAAATATCAAGTAAATACACGTGATTGGTTATGATTGGGGTGTGAGGTACAGCAGACCGTTTGTCTAGAAAAGTAACTTATAACTAAATCACACTGCAGTCTGACTTCATTACTAATAGTTTGAATTTGTTTCCATTCCCTCAGATTTAGTCCTGATGTTGATGCTGCATAATGACAAGTAATGAAAGAAACGTGGTAAAAAGGAAGTTGCTGGTTTGGTGGTCCTAGTCTTAAAAGTCTAAAAATAACAAATATAACTTTGCTAAATATATGCTGGGAGATTACTGCAAGTTACCCTTAATGACCTTCAGCATCGTATGAGCTGGCGTGGACACTCTGCGTCCGCATGCTGACTTTCAGATGCCTCCAACACAATGGCGATTTAGTCTCCTCATAAAACACTAGGGCTGCCACGATTAGGCGACTAGTCACGATTACTTCGATGTAATCGTGACTAGTCGACGACTGATTTAATAGTCGACGCGTTGTTTGAAGCTTTGTAAGATCACAAAAGACGCAGGAATAATAGCAGGATTTAAGAGTGTAATAACGGACTGAAACAGAAGATGGCAGCACTGCATGTACAAGGATGCCAGCTGCCGTTAAACCCCGAAGAAGAAGAAGCTGTGTCCCAGAATTCATAGCGCCCAGCTCAGTTTCCAACAATGGCGGCAGCTAGTTAGCTTTAATATTACTCTTATTATTCTTTCTGGGTCACAAAATAAACGTTTAACATATTTTCAGGCGAGAATGTAGCTGTGTAAACCTCAAATATCTGCTCAGTTTATCAAGACACCGCATATTTTCAAAAGCGCTCCGACGTTTTCGGAGACGTCTGTTACCCACTAGCTCGATAGCTAGCCGGGGGCTAGGTCACTAGAGCCGTGAGAACACCGGACTCCCGGCAAATCGTTTTCAAACCCACCGCCGTCTTTCGCTACTCAGGTTAAACATATATAAGTCACTTAGATAACTTAAAATGTTATTGTTTGGCTTTTTTTTAGTATTTTATTTGTTCCTGAGTAAATCGGTTTGGCTGAGATTAAAGTTATAGTTTTTACACAGCTGAATAAACGTCAAGCAGACAGCTGATTATCAGAAGTGTGAGATGCTCGAGAATATACTCCGGTGTCCTGTTATATTTTAGATAGCAAGGAGTTTATTAAACTTCACCGAAACAATCTGCAAATTTCATTAAAATTTAATAAACTATCATCTTGTCTTTATTTTTAGTTAGCACATACCTTAAACACTTAAAGCTGTAAGCTAATGATAGTTATATAAGAGCAGATGCTGCTGGTGCAATAAGCTGTATGTTTTACGTTCAATGGATGGTGGATCTGAGTAGTCGACTATCAAAATAATCGTTTGTGGCAGCCCTATAAAACACACAACCAACAGTGTGCTGAGGCTACCGCACTGACCTTTATTCCACTAAAGTTAGGTTTGGTTGTTTATTGTTAAGGACAAACTGAGGAGCGAGAGCAGACAGAAAAACATGCTTATTCGTTCTTTCGTTGACTCGAAATGGAAAACACATCAACCACCATCCCAAAATTTAAATGGCTGCAACACTTTTTTAATCAATAAAACCGAACAAAATATAAAACAAATGAAAGAAGCCAAGGGTGAAACAAACGATATGTGACTTGTTCATTATTGATGTTTGGAGGTGCTGGAAGGCAGACTCCACCTCCAGACTAATGGTTTCCCCGTTTTCAGACAGCTTTAGTTTTATATTCAAAGTAACGCTGGCAAAAAAGTGAATGATTATTCCTTTACTGTAAAGGCCACATCAGGCCAAGCTTAAACAAACAGGAGGAAAAAAGTGGATTTAATGTATGCCTTCATCACATCATGGTAATAAATGCATCCAGAAGCAGTAAGAACCAGGTCTGGTATTTATTCAGACACTTGCCTGGATGTTAAAGTTTACACAAAACTCAAAATGAGCGATTTAACGACTTAATGTTGTACACTTGACATTAACTTAATGAAACAGAAAGCTGGTCCAAATCCAGACTGATGGACAACAGACCTGCTTTTAAAAAATGGAGCTGCCCAGTCGCCTCCCCAAATATTCAGCAGCTACTTATTACTGCATATCAGGAATGCCAACACATAAACTGCTGCTGTGTTACTATGTGCGCTGTGCTGCAGGGGCATATGGTTTGTGCTAAGCGCTATATGACTGTGATGACAGAGAGCTGCTGGAGGCAGCTGAGCCCAGAGATGACTGCTCATTGCTGGCCTGGCTGGAGCCTGCTATATGACCTACTGCTCCATGCACGAGGGGCGTCCCACCCAGCACTCAGTAGCTGGCAGAGGCTTCGTGCGGGGCATTTGGCAGAGAGCACCGATCAAGAGGAGACGGTAAACGATGTCAAGAAGTCAAGCGAAGCACTCAGTAGCTGGCAGAGGCTTCGTGCGGGGCATTTGGCAGAGAGCACCGATCAAGAGGAGACGGTAAACGATGTCAAGCGAAAGTGCAAAAACTTGGAAGGCTTTCTTGCTGAATTATTTAACATTTTATTTAGCCGTACATCGCTTCAGGCTCCGCTGCTTCTACATTTATCACGGTGCTCATCATAAAACTGGATCCAGAAAATACAGCTTGGCTTCGGTTCTGTAAGAAAGGTCGTGTTGTTGCTCCTGTCTGTTCACCTGTGTCATAAATGTAAAAACAGTTCCCACGAATTCTGGTTGAAAAACAGACCCTGAAGCGAGTGAACATGAAAGGAACCATGCTTACTTTTACTTACCTTGATTCCTCTTTATTTTACGAGGAGAATAAAGCACGTTTGTTTTATTTGTCAGAAAATGGCAATGCAGATATAGGTTTTATACAGAAAGAATACTGAGCTTATGAAAGTGATTCTTTTTACATCTTAGCTCACTAATTAAACTCTAATAACACAACAACTGAACTGCTTTTATATCCTTTGATGCGTCACTCAGGTAGATGTTTGTAATGTAAAGGACTACATACTATATAGCCACTTTTAGTATTGTAAAACCTTTCTCAAAAACTCACCTTGAAACCTTGAAATACAAGTTCAAATCGAGGTGGCAGGATTGCTGATTATTACTGTTTAAGGCTTTAAGGTGCCTTCTCCTTGCTGCCCTTGCCTTTGGAGCCCATCAGCACAAACCTGACGGTGCTTGTGTGACACCTTGTGTGACTCCAGCCCTGGAGAAGCTAGCGCTGCGAGCCTGGCTAATCCATGTGCTGGCACGGCGCCGCTGCGTGGCCATGTGTTCCTGCAGAGAGCACCATTCCCCCAGGAGCTGCTGTCAGCACAAACTCAGGAAACAGTTATACTGTTCATATTTTTACAAGCTGCCTCTATGTGTAGCTAAAGTGAATCATAAGCTAATCACTGCCAGCTGCCTCAGGCATTGCTCTAGCTTGCTAGCCACTCAAGCTCAAGGTATGAGGGGAATCTTTCATATGCCACATTAATCTCTCCCTGAAATTCACCTTCACTGACCATCCTGCACTTCTCTGCTTTTCCCGGTCACCCCACCTCTGTCCTAATGTAAGGACAGAGGGATTTGACCCCTGACCTTATGATTTCTGAAGCTAGAATAGGAGGGGATAGTAAGCTGAGGCTTTGATATTTCTTTTACAAAGAAGGAATTTGAAGATTTCAAAAATGCTAACATACTGATGAATAACGTAAACTTTGACCTGTGCTGGAAAAAGTTTACTTATAGAGATGGGAAATCGTTGCTCATTTCAGATCAGAGGCTTTTTTAACTTGACTGGATGGTTTGTGATTCAGAGGAATGAGGTAGGTGACTAAACTCTGCCGTTTGAAATGCTACCAGGAGATCAGAGGGACATTCAAACCTGGGCTGTTTGAAGCCGCCCTGAAGTCATAAAATTGCTTGTACTCAGGTATGCGGGCATGGACGTCATCTCCGCTAGCCTGCAGCTATTGTCCAGAAACATTACAGCTCATCTTAATAAAGATAAGCTACCCGTGAAGTCTTGGCTCCCTGCATGGAGGCATGATGGGATGGAAAGTAACATGAAGATTCATGAACAGTGCTGATCTGCTCCTCGTTCATCTTCCTTCACCTGCAGCTAACTGTCCCACTAGGGAGCGGGAATAAGACCCTGTTCTCCACAGGACGTTCAAACTCCCCAAAACACCCTTCGCCTCCCCTCTCGTCTCCCCCCACTTTTTTGCAGCCGACCATTAAGCCCCTCTGATGGATGACAGGGGCTTCTTTGGCACAGATCGGTGGGAACGCTTCTGTTTCTGGTTAGCAAACTAAAACAGTGTTTGAGACACAGACAACAGCATCCTGGTTAAAGCTAAGCTAAAGCTAAGCCAGCCCCGAAGGCCCCAGCCTCCGTTAGTCCCAGAAAGATATCTGCCCCAAACTGAGCAGATCCACCTTTAATCACTATAGTCTCCTACTCTGAGGAATTCTTACTGTAAATCATCTGAATCTTTTCTCCCAGTTAACCGTTTGTGTAGTCGGGTTAATTGAAGGCAACACATTATTAACTGAGGCCCGCAAAATGAGTGACTGACCACATACTGCCATGAGCGACTACCTCAAAAATGCTTTTGTTTGGGTTTTGAGACTGACACTCATTTTCTGGCTGGTTGGAGAACGATAATGGCTGGAAGAAAGACAGTGTAGAGTTACAAGCCGTGAACGTGCCCCCTTCCAGAGCGGGAACTCTTAATGTAGCTCTGTGCCGACTGTGCTGCCACTCTAATCCAATTAGCCTGCGTCAATCACTGCCGAGGTATCAAACCGCCTCAGACTAATATTTGCAGAGGGGCTCTAATATCAATACGCAGGTAAAGGCTGCAGCTCCCCACCCCCTCTGCAATTATATAACCACAG